CCCCTGTATACCACTTCTTTATCCATTTATTTATGAAGGAGACTTCCTATGTTTCCATGTCTTAGTTAATTTAAATAATGTTTCAATGAACACAGGAGTGTGTATATCTCTGCATTAGTGTTTTCATTTTCTTTGGAGAAATACCCAGAAGTAGAATTGATGGACTGTATGGTAGTTTTATTTTTAACTTTTTGTGGAATTTCCATATTGTTTTCCATAGAGGCTGTACCAATTTATAATCCCACCAACAGTGCACGAGGGCTCACTTTTCTCCATATCCTTGCTGACTCCTGTTATTTCTTCTCTTCTTGACATGAGGCAATCTAACAGATGTGAGTGATACCTCATTGTGGTTTTGATTTGCATTTCCCTGATGATTAGTGATACTATCTTTTCATGTGTCTGTTGGTCATCTGTATGTCTTCTTTGGAAAAGTGTCTTTTCAGGTCTCCTGCCCCTTTTTTAACTGCATTTTTTGATTTTTTGGTGTTGATCTGTATGAGTTCTTTATATATTTTGGCTATTAACTGCTTGTCAGATATATCATTTGCAAATACATTCTCCCATTCAGTAGGCTGCCTTTTCATTTGATGGGTTCCTTAAGGAAAACTGACAAGTTACCTGCAAACAACTGGACTACTTTCTTACATGGTATACAAAAGTAAATGCAAAATCAATTCAAGACTTAAACATAAGACCTGAAACCATACAATTCCTAAAAGAAAAACAGGCAAACCCATAGAAATCAGTAATAGGTATAAGTTTTTTGTATCTGTGTCCTCTGGCAAGGCCAGCAAGAGCAAAAATAAATAATTGTGGCTATACCAACCTAAAAATCTTTTGCACAGACTTTCCTTGTTTTTGATGACCTTGACAGTTTAAAGAGTACTGTCAGGAGTTTTGTAGAACTGAAACTTGTCTGATGATTTTATCATGATTAAACTGGGGTAAAGTGTTTTTAAAAAGAAAATAACTAAGATAAAGTGTCATTCTCATTACTTCATATCAAATGTTTATGTTATTAACATGACTTAGTACTGTTGATGTTAACTTTGATCACTTGGCTGAGGTAGTGTTTATCAGATTTCTCCACTGTAAAGTAACTCTTCCCAACCCCCATTTCCTTGCTGTATATAGTTTGAAAGGTGGTCATTACCTGCAGCCCAAACTTAAGAGGTAGGAAGTTATGTTCTATCTCCTCAAGTGCAAAGTATCTACATAAATTATTTGGAATTATTCTGTATAGAAGATGTGTCTATTATTCCCATTCATTTATTCATCAATCATTTATTTTTTTTCTCAGTAGGGACTCATGGATATTTATTCTATATTTTGGGTAATAACTCATTATTTCTTTATTTTCGTGCTCAAATTATTCTAGTTTTGGTCATCGGGAGTCCCTTGGGTTGGCTCATATGGCCCTTTGACACACTCTCATACTTTTGTTTCTTAAGTACTTCATTGCTTTTTGGCATTACAAGATTCTCCACACTCATTTGTACTTTCTGTGTTTATGCCTAGAATCACGAAGATCTCTAAAGAGACACAGATCCTTTTATTGGAAAATGGTTTGAGAAAGTAATATCTAGGTACTGGTCAAACTTTTTATTTTTAAAATGAAATCTATAACTTAGTTTATACAGATACAAAATATTTGAAATTTGTCAGCAGGCATATTTGTTCATTAATAATCATAGGAAGAACTAAGAAAATTAGGTACAATATTTAAAAATATTTAAACTGATTGTATTTAGTTGAACAGTGTGATAGCTATTTTTGTGTGTCAATTTGACTAGACCACAGGTTGCCCAGATTAAACATTCTTTCCAGTGTATCTGTGATGGTGCTTCCTGGTGATATCAGCATTTGAATCAGTAGACTCACTAAAGCAGATTACCCTTCCCAAACTGGCTAGGCATCATCCAAACTGTTGAGGGCCTGAGTAGCACAAAAACTAAAGAAAAGGAGGACTTGCTCCTTTTCTGCCTACCAGCTGAACTGGGGCATTGGTTTCTTCTGTCCTTGGACTGGAATTTATACCATCTGTTTTCCTAGTTCTCATGCCTTTTAATTCAAGACTATAACTTTTAATTCAAGACTATAACCAATGGCTCTCCTAGGTCTCTGGCTTGCAGACAACAGATCATGAAACTTTTCATCCTCCATAATTTTATAAGCCAATTCCTCATAATGAATTGCTGTAATACATAGATATAGATAGATAAATAGATAAATAGATAGATAGATAGGTAGGTAGATAGCTCTCCCATTGGTTCTGTTTCTCTAAAGAACACTGGCTAATTTGGTTTTCAAATTCCATATCTTACAAAAAGATACTGAAGTCCAAGGAAGTATCCAGTGATTTACTTTCTATATACCAGTTTCCTTTCTATATACAATAATTTACAAAATTTATAATTTATAATTTATAAGGCAAAGCATAAATTTTGTTTTTAAAAATAATTATAACTCCATTACTAAAGCTAAAGAAATATTATGAAAGTTTAAACCAAATAAAAAGTATCTATTAACGGATTACTAACCTTGACAATTTCATGAGAAATTGAATTAATAGGACAAAATTCTTAAAACATGATAGACTGGTACTACAGTCGTTACTTTTCACTTTATCATTTGGTTGTATCGGTGGCCTTTCCAATAGAGAAATAAGAAACTCGGCTGTTTTAGTGGATGTAAACAAAGCTCATTTCACTCCAGTTTCTGCCTAAGGGATAATTGGTTGGTCACTTTAGAAGCTGACTTTAAAAAAACGAAGGACTAATAATGTCGGAAGACTGAAATGAGTTCAAATAAGAGACAGAAATGCTTTTTAAAGTTAATTATGTTTGCTTTTCCTTTTCCCTTGGTGTTCATTACCTTTAAATGGAGCCACACACTGGCCAAAGTAATTATCAGGTTGGTCAATGCAGGTGATTCCCTTCTTGCACAGATATGAAGCACTCATATCTGCATCTATTTCACATCTTAAATCTTTGAAAAAAATAATAAAAAGATTTTAAGTTTTAATAAGGCAAGCAGGTGCCAGGTTATAATTCTTAAAATTGCCCAAATCTTTTAATCCATTGGGGGTGATAATATGAAACTAAAATTGTCAGATAAGAATGCCACATATATTAGTGTCAGAATCCATTCATTTCACCTTACAAACCTTGTTACAAACTGCAACAACTTCTCTTGGAATTACTAAATGCAGACTAATCTCCTCTGAATTGGTAGGTATTCAAAGTCTCTTTAGATATGAAAAAATTATCTTCTGCTTTGGAGTCTAGAGATGGAATAGATATTTCAAGTTATTGGGATGCAAATCAAATGTTAGTCTAAGGGCAATAAAAAAAGAAACAAAAAAATACTAGCGAATCAATACCATCCTTATGTATGTCCCCTAGGGTTAAATGTTCTCTACAAGGCACAGTTTTCAAATGTTACTAACCCATAAAGCCAGAGGGACACAAGGATTTGAATTTATCCATGAACTTTGTAGATGTAATGTTATGGAGGCAGAGTGATGAATCACATTGCTTTTGATTAATTTCACATAGCAGGTCTATATGGAAGGAAAACAAATCAGAAGTATTCACTAACTGTATATCTAACCTTAACGTTATTATTTCTTTTTTAAAGTAATCTCTACACCCAGTGCAGGGCTCAAACTCACAACCCTGAGATCAACAGTCACATGTTCTAACGACTGAGCCAGCCAGGTACCCCTTCACATTTCCTTTTAACTAGCTCTATAGTGCAGATTTTCCCTTAATGTTTCACTTAGAATTTGTGTTGCTAAAACTGACCTTTCATATTATGTCCTTGGATTGTTTGTTGATTTGCAATGAGTTGAAAGCATAGCCTAAACTGACACTGAATTGATTCTTAAAACTTTTTTGTTTTTTAAATTTTTTTAAATGTTTATTTATTTTTGAGAGAGAGAGAGAGCACATGGGCTCCTGGGTGATGGGCAGATCTGAGAGAGAGAACAGAGGATCCAAAGTGGGCTCTGTGCTGACAGCAGAGAGCCCGACCAGGGCTTGAACTCAGAACCATGAGATCATGACCTGAGCCAAAACCGAAGTTGCACACTGGATGGACTGAGCCACCCAGGCACCCTGATTCTTAAGACTTTTGGTAGCTATTTTTTTTTTTTGCCTATTTTGAACAAGATTAGAAAAATTGGCATTGACAAATAACACATGGTGTTCACAAATTAGATGAATGGAAGTCTTTCTAATATTCTTAAATGTTTTTCTCTAAAATAGTGATTAAATCTGGGCTGGAGAAAAATTAATGTAATAGATATTTAAATAGGAAAGAGCATACCTAACTAAATAGAAAAGCTATTTATATTATCACTGACAAAATATTAAGTGAAAATATGACATTAGAACATCAAGGTTAAACTGAGGAAAAAGTGAAAATTAAAAATAATAGTATGAGTGAATAAATAGTTTGTTTAAATCTTAAAGTATTTATTTGGTAATTCTCCTTATGAATCAACAGAAAAACAGCACTTTTTAAAACCTTGTGAGAGAAAAACAGCACATTTAAAAACCTTGGTTTGTTCCTTGTAGTTGGGAATATGCCAAAATTTACCTCTCCAAAAGACTTACTTTTTGCTCTGTCTCATACAATTTTAAAAAAAATTATCTTGAGTTTTTGTTGATGATAAATAGTACGTTAAGTTTTTAATAAGTGGGCACACTATCTGCATATGGTCATTCTTAAAGTCAACCACATAAAACCAGTTTCTCAAATTCAGTAGAATAAATAGCTGTTTCATTCATGATTTTCAAAACAAATTTGACTTTCTTATTGCTTAAAGATTGTGCAGTGTTTTTACTTTTAAATCAGTCACATAAGAATAGAATTAGGAAGAGGTTTGGAGAGCTAGATTTTGAACAACATTTTGGCTTGCAATCATGCTTGTTTGACAGTATTTGCTTGCATATAAAATATTGAGAGTCTTACTACTTTTTCTAATATTGAAAAACAAAGGTCTATTATTAGAGTTTCCCCTAAGGTAAATAAAAAGAACATAAATATTTAAAAACATAAACAGCTCTTATCAAAATAAGTGATAAATATTGACAAAGGTCCCTGTAAGAGTTACCCCAGTAACAGAATGGAATGTGGTATGCAAGGAAATGTTACAAGTTTTAAATAAGTGTAATGGACTTAGCGTTGACAAATCTCCTAAAAAACACTGGTTGACTTACAAAGACAAAAAAATATTCACTCAACACTGCACATACCTGTTTCTGTGATTATGTGAAGATGCAGTAAAATAATCCAAGTAGATATTATATATTCATATGTTCTCACGGAAAAAGAAACTAATATGCATGTCTATTAGATGAATTGTATCTTCTAAAAATAAGGATTTATTTCCACCTCAAATTAACCTTCAGTTATCCCAGTTTTGCTTAGCATGTGTGCCTACCTTGAAATCCATTCGGACACAGGCAGCTGAAGGTGCTGTAAAGATCAACACATTTGCACAGGCCTCACTTAGGCACTGATCTACCTCAATCTCACAGTTATTATTTCGAAACAAGCAAAGGATTCACTTCATTATAAATGTGTCACTGATGCAACTTGCAGCCAAATCTAAGACTAAGTTCAGAAATATGAGACTCCCAACTTGTCTGCAAAAAATTTGCATTGCTTAATGCTATCAACTAGATATTTACTCTTCCTTTTTTTGTTTTGTTGTGACTGAAAACCTGTGGCTTTACTTTCATTTCAGTGAATCCAAGAGAATTCAAAATGTACATTATTTCCTTAAATTAAACACATACATGACTGTGTTTGATATGACTGTATAATGTTAACCAAACTGACTTTCCTTCAAACCAGGCCATTATACACATTTGAGTCCTGCATGCAATTCTTTAAAAACAAAACAAAAACAAAAACTATGACCTTCTCAGCTTCTTGTTTCATTAAGTTACTGCTGGCCTGCAAACTGGCCCCCGTATATGGATGGCAAGAAGAGACCAAAGAAAAGAAGTAGACCACTTCAGATGGGTAGGTGGTAAGTTTATTAATAAAAGGAACTTACATACAAGGCCTGTCTTGGGCTGCCGCAAGACCAATAGATTTCTGCATCCACCCACCAGAATCTCAAGTTTATTTATAGTCTATAACTTGGGTCAGTCATTTATTCAGTACAGATAATCTCAATAGTACCTTCCTCCTTCAAGGTTATGTCCTTAACACAGCTCCCAGTGTGAGAATAGTGGGTGGCATGTATATTCTAAGGACAGAGGAGGGTGTAAGGAGCTTCCAAATGTCCAGTTAACACACGAGGATCAACAGGCAGTCACATCCTCTCAGTGATCTCCTTCCACAATTACTGTAAACTAAATTAATTTTCATACTCACAAATTACTTTAACAGTTTCTAAGTAAAAAGGTATGTTTTTTTTCAAAATCATTTAAGGAAAGAAGATGTAGTGGAATGTGTCTATCATTTATTTGCACTATTCATCCTCTGAACTTCCTTTTGCATCTGGATAATTAACTACTTAATGATTCTTTAATAAAAGTTAGAGACCACTTCTCATAATAGAAGGTGAAAATGCAAGATATATCTTTCCCAGTCTCAGTTATCCCAAAATGTGGGTATGTAACCCAAAGTGGGCTAATATATCCAGGACCCACCATGGATTTGAATGTAAGCTGGTGACAAAAATAAACAGGAATGGAGAACTCATTTGTTTTGCAGGTGGCAAAATTAGGACAACCATACCAATTTCCAAGGACTACTGACAACACTGCCTCAGTGTTATCTAGTGTCAATGCCCATCCCTACTGACATTGTGTTCATATATGATGTTGCCTTATCTGCTGTCTAGACTCCCTCATTTGTGCCTATTTTCCAGATCTGATTCTAAATGTTCCTATAGGTCCTACATGTAATGTTCTTTTAATAATCTCTAACTTAAATCATTTTCATGTTAAACCACCCTGAGTATATTTCTAATACCCACAATGAATAACTCCATTAGTGGTATGTATAACAATTTGTTTTTGCCATTATTATGATTATTATTTATATTTCAATTTTATAGATAAAGCAACTAGGGGAAAACCTAAAAAGAATTAATGAGAAGATTCACCTTTCACAGTGGAGAACCAATAACTAGTATCTCTAATTCACAAAACTCAAAAGAGCAAAGACATTTTTTCAATGAGCAAATAAGGCATAATAGAATAAAATCAGGAACTATTTAAAAATGTTTGTCTCTAGCAGACTTGAAGGTAGAGAATCTGTTGTTTTTTACTGAAAGTCGTTTTGATTTTATTTAGCATGTTCAATGCTCAATTTGTTTTTTTGTTTGTTTTTAAATATTGTAACAATTTATTTTTTAATTAAATTTTTTTTAATGTTTATGTATTTTTGAGAGAGAGAGAGAGAGAGACAATGGGAGAGAGATGGAGCATGAGTGGGAGAGGGTCAGAAAGGGAGACACAGAATCTGAAGCAGGCTCCAGGCTCTGGGCTGTCAGCACAGAGGCAGACATGGGGCTCAAACTCATGAGCCATGAGATCATGACAGAAGCCAAAGCTTGACACTTTAACTGACTGAGCTACCCAAATGCCCCAATATTGTAACAATTTCAATAACCTTTTAAGAAAATATCCTATCTGTCATGAAATACCTGAATTTCAATGGATGAGTATATATAAGGTTAGTGTGAAGTTCATAAAAATGCCTAGCTCTGTGACTATCATTAGGTAACCTAGGATATATGGTTCTTAATTTTATAATCAAAACAACAAAAAAGTTAAATCTCAATTTTCTATTGTGCTATATATATAAAGTTTTCAGTGTTATATGCAGCCACGATTCAGATTCTGTGAATCATTCAAATATGCAAAAGAGATTTTGTAGTTAATTCTAAAAAACCCACTTTCCATATTTTGAAGCTAATTTATAATCAGTACCTCTACCTTAATAAGATATTTGA